TTTGGAGTTCTCCTGAAGGGCAGACTTGTCTCCTCCCTGGTTTGTTTGTTTGTTTGTTTCCCAAAGATTCATTTATTTGAAAGAGTTACAGAGAGAGAGGGAGAAACAGAGCGATCTTCCATCCTCTGCTTCACTCCCCAGATGGTCACAACGGCCAGGGCTGGGCCAGGCCAAAACCAGGAGCCAGGAGCTTCATCCGGGTCTCCCACGTGGGTGCAGGGGCTGAACCTTTGGGCCATCCTTCACTGCTCTGTCATTCTGCCTTTCAAACAAATAAGTTAATCTTTAAAAAAACAAAAGCAAAAACTTGAGATGGAGCTAAAATAATACTTTAAGGTAAATAAATTCTTAAGTGAATTTCTTCCTTCTTCCCGCTTCTCCCTCCACCCTTCCTTCTTTCCTTCTTTTATGTTTTTGAGGTAACATTTGTAATCAACATTACAGTCCAGGGCTTAATGCTCTGCTAAATAAAGAGATCAACAGGTAAACAGATCCAGGTGTTAAGCGGCCGTCAGAGGAACCGGTGGGAGAAAATGTTACCTGGGCGGATGTGAGGCGCTGTGCTGATCTCAAACGCTGCGGGCCGTGGGCAGAGCGCTGCAGGGCACTGGGGGAATCGTGTGGTCACGCAGGCGGCGCTGCTCGCTGGCCCTTCACCGCCCAGGTCTGCGGCCTCACGGCTACTCCGCAGTGCTCCTCCGGAGCCGCCCGTTCAGCAGCACTTTCAGTCCTGCTGACGATCCCAACAAAGCAGTGAGGTCTTGGCGATGAGGGATAGTGAACTTTTTATTTATTTATTTGAAAGGCAGAGAGACAGAGATCGCCCGTCTGCTGGTTTGTTCCCCAAATGGCCGCAACAGCTGGGGCTGAGCCAGGCTACAGCCAGGAGCACGGACTCCATCAGAGGCCCGTGTGCACGTCGGGGACCCGAGTACTTGAGCCACGGCCTGCTGCTTCCCTGGGTGTGCATTAGCACGAAGCTGGAGTCAGAGCAGAGCCCTGGCCCCCGCTAGACACCGACATGGGAACTGGCCCTGCCAGTGATTGCCCTTGGGATGCCCTTGGGATGCCATATTTGACTCTATAGGTCCTAGGACTTTGCCACGTCAAATGACTGTCATCCTTAGCTTCCCCTGACAGCATAATGAGAGTCAGTGGTGTGTTTGGTGCCTACGGGAGTCACGTAGAGAGCTTTTAAAATTAGCAGGTTGAAGCCCTGGCCTGCAGCGCCGGCATCCCATACGGGCGCTGGATCTAGTCCTGGCTGCTCCACTTCTGATCCAGCTCTCTGCTGTGGCCTGGGAAAGCAGTAGAAGGTGGCCCAAGTCCTTGGGCCCCTGCACCCACGTGGGAGACCCGGAAGAAACCCCTGGCTCCTGGCTTCAGATTGGTGCAGCTCCGGCTGTTGCGGCCATCTGGGAAGTGAACCAGCAGATGGAGGACTTCTCTCTCTGACTCTACCTCTCTCTCTATCTTTCAAATAAATAAAATAAATCTTTTTTTAAAAAAAGTACAGGTCCTGGGGCTCCATCCCCCACTACCTAGTTCCAATCCTGGGAATAAACGTGGGTATCAGGTGTTTTCCTTTTAATTTCCCCACAAGATCCTAATATGACCCAGAGTGGAGACTGTCTTGGGCCAGGTTAATATTGGCCTAAATTAATATTCCAGGCTCTTGCCTTTTACATAGAGAAGAATTCTAAGTACAGGCATGCATTATGATGAGGTTGATTTAGAAAGTGAGACAAATACACAGGCACACGAGGGCTTCATTTTGGGAGAGTGGGCTAAAAAAAAAGGTTAAAAAGGGGAGTTTCATACCCTGCTCTGCTCGTCCTGGGTCCATGAGGTGGAGAGAGAGAAGAAGAGCCCCCTCCCCTTCACCAGGCTTCTTATTAACTTCAAAAGGGGAGCGGTCACATGGTACTGCCCCCCAGGACCCAGGTGCAAGCTGGGAAGGGCTCATCCTTCACAGGTGGGATTCCAGGGTCGGGGGGAGGTGCGACCCCTGCTTATGAACCATCTCCCCACAGCAAGGCCACTTTGGTGAAATCTGACTTATATTTTCAGATTTTTTAAAAAAATTATTTACTTGAAAGGCAGAGTTACAGAGAGAAGGAGGGAGAGACAGAGAGACAGAGAGAGAGAGAAAGAGAGAGAGAGAGAGAGGTCTTTTATCCGCTGGTTCACTCTCCAAATGGCTGCAACTGCTGGAGCTGTGCTGATCTGAAACCAGGAGCCAGGAGCTTCTTCTGGGTCTCCCACGTGGTACAGGGGCCCAAGGACTTGGACCGTCTTCTGTTGCTTTCCCAGGCACATTAGCAGTGAGTTGGATTGTAAGTGGAGCAGCCGGGACTCAAACCAGCATCCGTAAGGAATGCTGGCACTGCTGACGGCAGCTTTACTTGCTACACCACAATGCCGGCCTATTTTCAGATTTTTAAAAATACATTTTGGAGCAGGTGTTGCGGCACAGCTGGCTGAGCTGCCACTTGGAGTGCCCGCATCCTCTATTGGAGTGCCAGTGTGGGTCCCAGATGCTCCACTTCCAATCCAGCTCTCTGCTAAGCTGCCTGGGGAACAGCAGGTGATGGCTCAAGTGTTTGAGTCTGCCACCTGCTGGGAAACCCAGATGGATTCCTGGCTGCTGGTTTTGGCCTGGCCCAGCCCTGGCTATTAGGGCCATTTGGGGGAGTGAACCAGCAGAGAGAAGGTATCTCCTTGGGGCCGGCACCATGGAGCACTAGGTTAATCCTCCGCCTGCGCCACCAGCATCCCATATGGGCACCAGGTTCTAGTCCCGGTTGCTCCTCTTCCAGGCCAGCTCTCTGCTGTGGCCAGGGAGTGCAGTGGAGGATGGTCCAAGTGCTTGGTTCCTCCACCTGCATGGGAGACCAAGAGAAGCACCTGGCTCCTGGCTTCGGATCAACACGGTGTGCTGGCCGCGGCGGCCATTGGAGGGTGAACCAACGGTAAAGGAAGACCTTTCTCTCTGTCTCTCAACACTGTCCACTCTGCCTGTCAAAAAAAAAAAAAAAAAAGAGAGAGAGAAAGAAAAGAAAAAAAAAGCTAACTGAGCATAAGGGGTGCTTTAGGCTTTTGATGTCTGCTACGTAACAGAAACAGCCCTTCCCGTGGCGCAGTATCCACGACACACTGGTCACGTGTTCAGACCCTTTGTAAACGAATTTGCTAAGCGGTGCAAGGCAGCTTCTAACGTGGTCTCCGCACCAGCTTGTGACACAGAAGGTGGCACCGAGCAGGGCCAAGGTGCCACGGAAGTCACCTGCCTGGTAACTGTCAGAGCTGAGACTCGAGCTTGGAGGCCATGCTTCCGAAATCGACTTCCCCAAGCGACAGTCTCCATTCCACACTTTGGCGGGGGAAGCGGACAGGCCCTGGAGCTGCACTGATCACAGCCGGGAGCGTAGCCTTGCCTGCATTATTTAAAGGAGTTTCCACGCTGTAATCATGACACCATCCACCCTGTGGGGCTCCCAAAGGAGGCCAGGTGGAGCACCCGGTGTCTCCCCTGTGGCCCCTCGTTCTTTCTCCGCCCCGCTTTATGCACAGTGAGCCTTCCCTCCCTGCAGGGTGGGGACTGTCTCTCTGTCAAAGGCCATGTGAGAACGGTACCATCCTCAGCGGCCATGCAAAATTATCAACTGAAAAATTAGCCTGCTCCAAATGTCCAAACTTTCAAGTTCTGCCGGCGGTCGCCTTGGCAGGGCCAGACCGGAAGATCTCACAGGCTGGACGCTCCGCACCCAAGAGAGGCCATGGTTTGTCTGACCACTTTTCTTTAATGTTCTCTGTATTGTTCAAGTGTGTTTGCGTTTTTATTTTCCTGGTATACTCTGAAGACTCGGTCTTCTGTTTTGTCTTTTGGTTTGTGTTTTTGTTTTTCTAATTTGACAGCTCCCATCTTCTGGTTCACTCCCCAGATGCCCACAGCCACGGGAGCTCAGTCCAGGTGCCCCACGCGGGTGGCAGGGGCTCCACCGCTGAACCACCAGCACGGCCTCCCAGCGTCCATGTTAGTAGGAAGCTGGAGTCAGCAGCAGGACCTGGGACCGAGGCCAGTGCTCCTCGTGCAGGATGCCGGTGTTTAATCTGCATCTGAACCGCTAACCTAGTGCCTTGCTGACTCTAACAGAGCTGGGGCCAGGGGCTGTTCCCAGGGCTCAGTGAGGCCTCCCAAAATCCCCTGCGCCCTTCTTCCCCGGGGACTACCGCTGCTTCTCAAGCTGTGCGGTGCCCTGTCTAGGAAGAACATGACGAGTTTTCGCTACAAAACTCTCATTTACTCCTGAAAGTACCAGATACTTAGAGATGCCCACTGTGTCACGTGCAGCCCTGGCCTTGTTCCCACTGTTGGCAACGCCACCACTTTGGGCAGTGACCCAGCTATGTCAAGGGAGGTTGCTTGCTGGTTTATAGACAAGCAGGATATAAAGCAGTCATGGAAACTGTGTTAAATTTGACAAAGCATCTTTGTTGGGAATAGGAGGGGCATCACTGATAAAGATGTCAATTTAAGGGGCCGACGATGTGGTGTAGTGGGTGAAGCCACAGCCTGCGGTGCCAGCATCCCATATGGGTGCTGGTTCTAGTCCCAGCTGCTCTTCTTCCGATCCAGCTCTCAGCTATGGCCTAGGAAAGCAGAAGAAGATGGCCCAAGCCCTTGGGACCCTGCACCCGCATAGGAGACCTGGAAGAAGCTCCTGGCTCCTGGCTTCGGATGAGCTCAGCTCCAGCCATTGCGGCCATCTGTGGAGTAAACCAGAGGATAGAAGACCTCTCTATCTCACTCTCGCTCGCTCTCTCTCTCTGTAACTCTTCCAAATAAATAAAAAAAGATCTTTAAAAAAAAAAAAAAGATGTCAATTAAAAAGCTGAACTCATAATCTTGGCCCCGATACACGTGACTCTCAGGAATTCTGCTCCTGGGTGTTGAAGCTCCTGCAGGCTTGTTGCAAGTGTTGTAAGAACGCGCAGCGACGCTTACCTGGCAGGAGCGACACCGCCACCACGAAGGTGCTCCCCAGGGCCAGGCTCGTCCGCTGCACTCTGGCTGTGCCGACCCTGCGATTTCCCCAAACGTGGGAAACTCGGCTGCAGAATGTGTGGTCGTGGGGGACTGCGTCCACGCTTTCCCCTAAAAAAGAATACACAGTGAGGGCTGCCGTATGACAGAGCAATAAGCTAACGACTGCAGTGCCACCATCCACATGGGCGCCAGCTCGTGTCCCGGCTGCTGCACTTCCCATCCAGCTCCCTGCTGATGATCTGAAAAACCAGCAAAAGATGGCCCAAGTGGCTGGGCCCCTCCCGCCCACGAGGGAGACCCAGAAGAAGCTCCTGGGTCCTGGCTTTGGCCTGGCCCAGCCCTGACTGTTACTGCCATTTGGGGAGTAAGCCAGCGGATGGAAGATCTTTTTCTCTGTTTCTCCTTCTCTCTCTGTAACGCTGCATTTCAAATAAATAAATAAATAAATGTATGTTTTTCAAAAAAGAGGGGCCGGTGCTGTGGCACAGCAAGTTAAAGCCCCAGCCTGCAGTGCCTGCATCCCCTATGGGCGCCAGTTCGAGTCCCAGCTACTCCATTTCCAATTCAGTTCTCTGCTGTGGCCTGGGAAAGCAGTAAGAGATGGCCCAAGTCCTCGGGCCCCTGCACCCACGTGGGAGACCTGGAAGAAGCTCCTGGCTCCTGGCTTCGGATCAGCTCAGCTCCGGCCATTGCGGTCATTTGGGGAGTGAACCAGCAGATGGAAGACCTCTCTCTTTCTCCAGCTGTACATCTCTCTGTAACTCTCTTTCAAATAAATAAAATAAATCTTAAAAAAAAAAAAAAAGGAACCCACAGCCACAGTGGTTAAGACTTGTGCTGCTTGTGCCCCATATTGGAGTGCCTGGGTCTGAGTCCGGTTCCATTTCCAAACCCAGCTTCCTGCTACTGTACACCCTGGGGAAGCAGCAAGTGATACAGCTCAAGTACCTGGGTCCCTGTCAGCCATGTGGGAGTCCTGGACTGAAATCCGGACTCCTGGCTTGAGTTCCAGGCCTCCTGGCTATGGCCTAGGCGATCCAGCCCCGGCTGTTGCATTTGGGAGTGAACTAGCAGATGGAAGATCTCTGTCTGTCTCCAGTTTTCAAATAAAATGAAAATGAATAAATAAGACTCCAAACCAATTTCTTCATCGCTATGCAATTTTACTTTGTTTTATAAAAGAATAAGATCTTTTTGGATCTCTAAATAAATAAATAAATAAAATTTTATAATCCTTGTTTCTGATCACTGTTTCAGACTCAAGTTTTCCTTTAACTGCTAGATTTTGTTGGGAAAAAAATCCGTCCCCTTTACACTTCTCAAACTTCCCCAAATCTGCAAAGAAAAGATGCTGGGGGGCCAACTCGGTTTGCTGGGACTTTTCCAGGTTGAACAGCTGACATTTCCGCCTCCCACTCACCCCCAAGCTCCCCACAGTGGCGAAGTCAGGACCTTAGTCCCTCTGGGGCTCACTGCGCTGACCCTCCCGGTCACCTCTGGCCATCACCCCAGGCCTGACCGCAGAGACTGCCCATGAAGCTCCAGGTGGGAGCCGGACGAGAGCAAAGCAGCTGTTGGCACACTGACTTCAGGTTACACGGTCAGAACACAAGGAGGCAAGTTCCGCGTTTTACTACATCTGGCCAAAAAGGATCTTTTCGATCTAGCTAAATGCTCTGGCACTGACAAGAGAGGAAAGACATCAGTCCCAGAATCAGACTTGAAAACGGGCTTGAAAGCGAGTCTTATGGCTTTCCCTGGAGTGGCAGGGCTAAGTGCCTTGGTTATCTTGTTTCTCGATTCTGTTCCCCACTGAAAGACACTGTCGTAACATTTCCAAATGTATTCGTCCCCTGCAGGGCAGAATTATCTCTCTGCCCAATAGATCAAATGCCACAAACTAAAGACCCATTGCAACGCTGAGTCAAGCCGACACTTGGGAACCTGCGTCCCATATCCAAGTGCCAGCTCTGCGGCTTCTGGTTCAGCTCCCTGCTAATGCACCAGGAGGCAGCAGATGATGGCCCACGCGCTTGGTTTTGTGCTACCCATGTGGGCGGACTTCCTGGCTCCTGGCTTCAGCCGGCTGAGCCCTGGCTGTTGTGGCCATTTAGGGGTAAAGCAGTGTATGGTAGATCTCTCTCTCTCTCTCTCTCTCTCACTCAGTTTCAAGCAGATGAAAACAAACATTTTACAACCCTTATCTTGAAAATGAGAGTAAACACTTGGCCCATCTTTCAGACCCCCTCAGGTTAAGAGTTGAAGGGAGAGATGTTGACTCACCGCAGGGCAGCGGACACCACGAGTATACCCCAGGGTGAAGGTAAAGCTTGCTTGCTGCTTTGGTACTAATTCCTGGTCCTTTACGCAAAATGGCGCTTCAGGATTCCAACTTTTTCTGAGTTTAAGAAACAGGTTTTTTAGGTTTTTTCCTTTTTTTTTTCTTGAAAGGCAGAGTGGACAGTGAGAGAGAGAGAGACAGAGAGAAAGGTCTTCCTTCAGTTGGTTCACCCTCCAATGGCCACCGCGGCCGGCGTGTTGCACTGATCCGATGGCAGGAGCCAGGTACTTCTCCTGGTCTCCCATGGGGTGCAGGTCCCAAGCACTTGGGCCATCCTCCACTGCACTCCCTGGCCACAGCAGAGAGCTGGCCTGGAAGAGGGGCAACCGGGACAGAATCCGGCGCCCCGACCGGGACTAGAACCCGGTGTGCCGGCGCTGCAAGGCGGAGGATTAGCCTAGTGAGCCGCGGCGCCGGCCAAGAAACAGTTTCAGAGTTAGCTGGCTGCTGCTGCCAGTGGAGAGAGGGAGACGCACCACTGGCAGGGAGGACCTGGGGACACGGCTTCCAGTGTCGTGGCCTCTGCCACCCTGCAAACAAGAGGAGAAACCCCGGCGGGCGGGGGAGTCACAGTAAACCTCGTTCTCGGCCTCCACTTGTGGCTCAGGGGTACGAAGTGTCAGGGAGGCACGTGCCTCACGCGGGAACTCTCTTGCCAACCCTTCTCAGGTCCCATAGACTAAGAGCGACCTGCAGCCCCAACCCTGCCGGGACCACACATTCCGAAGGCGACACAACCCAGCCCTGGTTTTGCTTACTTCCGCATGACATCCCAATCCCGCAGCTGTGATCCCTGGTCCACAGGAACAAAAACTGTCTCTCCCATCAGCTCGTCAGTTACTCTTCGCTGTAAGCCGCCACTGGGGACGCCCACATGCAGTATCGGGGAACCGATTCGAGTCCCACAGCTTTCTGCTGGTGCGTCCTGGGAGGCAGCCGCAGTGGCCTCCAGTGCCTGGGCCCCCGTCACCATGGAGGAGACCCAGATGGAGTTCTGAGCTCCTGGCTCCGGGCTGGCCCAGCCCTCGCTGTTGCTGAACAAAGGGGTAGAAGATCTCTCCCCCCGCCACCCCAACTCTCTCTAGTGGGTGAAAACAAACATCCGTAAAAAAATTGTTCTTCAAACCTCTCTTGTTGACACAAGGTGGACTATGAGTAAAAGAGGTACATGTTGAGGGGACTTCAACGAGTTTGTGCAAAACGAAACCCAAAGCTGCATTTATACAGGCGCCAACAACGTGAAATCCGTGCCCGGTGTTTTCATCATATGCATTCCCCACGAACTGTTTGAAGAGTCCCTCATGCGCTTCAGTGCTCAGCCGCTGCCTCCAAGCCAAGAGCTCCGGTCTGGAACATTCCTAAGAATCTGCAACTTTTTCCATCCTGAAGCCCAACACACTGAAGTCACCTAGGTTGCTTCTCTAGGCAAAACAAGACCTTTTACCAACAGAATCCCACACCTGTAGAATAGAAGGATAGCAAGAAGAGAAAAACACCAAAACCAAGACCAACACCAAAAAGCCACACTACCTGGTTCACCAATTCCCATGATCACTGGCCAGGAAATCTGCAAAGCTTGCCAAGTACTGAAGTTTAAGCAGGGACTTGGCTTCTAAGAAAGCGGGTGTTGGCCGGCGCCGTGGCTCATTTGGCTAATCCTCCGCCTGCGGCGCTGGCACCCCGGGTTCTAGTCCCAGTTGGGGCACTGGGTACTAGTCCCGGTTGCTCCTCTTCCAGTCCAGCTCTCTGCTGTGGCCCGGGAGTGCGGAGGAGGATGGCCCAAGTGCTTGGGCCCTGCACCCCATGGGAGACCAGGAGGAAGCACCTGGCTCCTGGCTTCAGATCGGCGCAGTGCCGGCTGTGGTGGCCATTAGGGGAGTGAACCAACGGAAGGAAGACCCTTCTCTCTGTCTCTCTCTCACTGTCTATAACTCTCTCTCTCTCTCTCTCTCTCAGTCTAACTCTGCCTGGCAAAAAATTAAAAAAAAAAAAAGCGGGTGTTTTTGTTGAAAATTAGGCAGTTACTTTGTGAGGACTTACTAACATTTGTTTTTCTAGTTTAAAAACCTGTGTGCTTCCTCATGTTTCTGGGGCTCCCTAGATAGGTTCTGGATGGGCGGCCCGGGGAGGAATTGTGACGTCATCACAGGCAGCCCCACTTTCACTTCTCTCTCCCTGAAGCTCCTCTCCCGGTCAGACACCAAGGACTCTTGCTGCTCCGATCCCTGTCAACTGCCAAGAGGTTAAAGCCACGACTTCTTGATGCTCACTCTAAAAGTGCTACGGGAGGGCCAGTGCTATGGTACAGTGGGTAAAGCCACTGCCTGCAGAGCTGGCATCCCATATGGGTGCCGGTTCGAGTCCCAGTTGCTTTTCTTCCGATCCAGCTCTCTGCCATAGCTTGGGAAGGCAGTGGAAGATGGCCCAAGTCCTTGGGCCCCTGTACCCATGTGAGAGACCTGGAGGAAGCTCCTGGCTCCTGGCTCCTGGCAGCTCTGGCCATCGCAGCCAATTGGCAAGTGAACCAGCAGATGGAAGACCCCTCCCCCACCCTGCCTCTCTTTTTCTCTGTGTAAATCTTTCAAATAAATAAGTAAATCTTAAAAAAAAAAAAAAGTGCTATGGAATAGAATAAAGCAACACAATCAATGGGAGTGGTGGAACTTCAATAGGAGTGAGGGGTGCCTGTGAGCCCGAGGGTCTTCTCCTGCCGACGCCCACCTCTGAGGGCAGCCTCGGCCCCAGAGCGACAGCAGTGCCCCATCAGTGC